CCGTGTTAAACGTGCCTTCACTGTCAAAGCACGGTGCAACAAGTTGCCTGGCCATCGCCTCCGGGGAATCAAATCAGGCCAATTTGAACAAAGAGTCGGCAACTGGCCTTGAAGCGCCAGAAGTGCTGTCCATCTGTCCACCCTATGGATATACAATGCTTGGACACAGCGCACTTTGATTCGGATACTACGCCGCCAGAACGGCATCGTTTTCCATTAATTTTCACACCTAAACATGGTATCCTTGGTGCCATCTTTCGACTGACGCAAATACATCCTAGACAATATAGTTTTTCCACTAAGTTTGGCATTGCATGTAAGTATATGCAATGCCAAAGTTGGCGGAAAGCGTCCACCAGCTGGGTTCCGCTCCCCTCCACTCTTTTTATCACAGGGTTCCATCCGGTGTTCCGACGATTTCGCGCTCAAACAAGATGGAGAAGAAGAAGATAGTGAAGAAGGGCAAGGGGGAGGGGGCGAAAGCTGCTCATCTGGGAGTACGCCATTGTATTATGTATGTATAATCGTTGATTGTTTAAATGTGCCACACGCCGTATCCCTCAACAAATTTATGGCCTTTCTACATGCTTTGATGTCGGCGATATTACGCCATCGTTTATACACACAAAAAAGCAGGATGGGAAATATTAAATTAAATGTGCATATTACGATAATGCTTCGCCATAATCGCGAAATTTACTCAACGTCTTTGAAACGATGAGACTCGTGAATCGAGTCGGCACCTGCCGCCAAGCACCTCATCCTATTTCTTTGCAAACAAACAAGCAAACAAACAATCATAAATGAGAATTCAAAAATAGCAAGTTACGCCTGAATAAAGGGATGATGCACACGCCGTTTTGTTCGTGCTGGATGGATCCGCGAACGTCCACACTTCATTATGAAGCACATTGCTCGTTGCTGTTTTACCCGTACTTTTGGTCTGCTCGGGAACTTTGTAGAAATTCTTTATAGTTGAAAATGAATTTTTTTCTGGAAATTAAGCCTGGTTTATACACTTTCTTCCAGGACCACATTTGGCAGAATCAAACAAAAAATCGCTTTTTAGGCCCTACTTCTTCTGCATGTGGAATATTCCCACTTCATCCGCAATAGCGTTTCCAAATAATAAAAGGGGAAAAAACCATGGGAAGAAAACCTTGAAAAAGACTGCGCTGAAATGAAATCGTTCGTTTTGCGCTTTTGGTTGTTGTCGCTTCACGGGCAGCTTTTTTTTTGAAAGCTTCTGTGATCGTATTGAAAACTGTTGCCTACGTTTTTGTGCTCGATGCATAAGAAATTTTCAGTTACTGCAGAAAATGGTGACCCATTCACTGGCCAATAGCATCCGCAAAATTTTGAGCATTTTTCTTGATTTCGTCCCGAAATGCCTTCACGATCACTAGGTGATGAGGGCTTCACTGGAGTAGAGGTTATTTGAGTTGTGTATAACAAAAGTGAGTTCAAAAAACGATAATTTTGAGCTATTTCAGAAGCTGCAGAAGTTTGATTTTTTTTTATGGCATCTTATGGCCTGGGGTATGCCAAGTTCGCAGGTCTGTTCAATTTCCTTAGTGCTCTTAGATTAGAAAGCCTGATAAAACAGATTTATTTCATGGGATTACGGTCGCCGGCGTTGCTTCAAACTGTAATTTTTGTCTAAAATTGGTCGCCATAAAAAGCAGCGCTTTTGTGCAGTTTTTTGATAGTGACATAACGCTAACTTATTGGCGACCCAGGCCACCTTAAGATGATTACCACTGAGATACAACTATCACGGGAAGGGACTGTTGATAGTGGCTGGGGATGCTACCACCAAAGGTATTATTGGCCGAACCGTAGGACTGTGTCTTAGGATGTAAAGTGTGGAAGTTTTCAAAATTCGAATTTCTGACCGATGACCTCGTCTAGTTTTTCCGAGCAATCTACAAAAGTGGATACTTTGAAAATTCCAGTTAGCTTGAAAATCGAGAGAATTTGTTGCGGTCAGTGGAATCGAAGGGCAGGCGATAACCGGACCAGTGCTTGAGACTCTTCGGAAGTAGTCAGTTGCTGCTTGAGTAGCTCTTTATTCGAAATGAGTACAAAATAGGTATTATTGGCAGGCGCCGGAAGGGCAACTCTGAAGGAAGCAAGGGGAAGGGGATGGCCTCTGCTCACATAGGTAAAGTAGTGCAATTAGCGCGGATGAGGTATGCACATACAGGTGGTGGCAGCAGCAGCAGCAACTAGCTGCGCCAGCTACTGTTGCTGCTTCGAGGCGAACTCCTTGGTGATTAGCAGAGCCTTCCATGCCTACCAGAAAGGCATGCCTGCTGCTGCCTCCATCTATAGTCGTTTCCTTGTTCCTTCATTTATATGCATTGTCACCGCTACCTGCTTCGCTGCCGTCGCTGCTTTCATCCGAATGCAGCTTTGAAGAATTTTTCCGAATTGCTGCTGCTGCTGTTGCTGTTGTTGCAAGGGAAGCAATGGATGTTGTTGGTTGCAGCGCGCTGCACTGTACAGCGCATGTCTGATGCCTACCACTTGTGGCTTCCCGAACTGTAAATTTCGATCCCGCTATCGTGGTCAGGAAGACAATCGACACTTCTACCGCATCCCGAAACGGCCACAGGTGCTGCGGCAACGTTGGCTGCTGGCAATTGGACGTACCGAGGATACAGTTGTTTCTCAGGTCAGGATAGTGAAATCTCAACAAACTCTCTTTTTTTTGCATTCTTCTTCACTCAGTTTTGCTTTCGTTTCTTTTGTGTTTCTGGTCCTCATCATCCTGCTTGCTTTGCGCATTTTCAGTGATAATAAAAATGCATGGCCTGTTGCTTTGTGTATTTTCCTTTGTGCTTCCACTACTAGCACTGCGTTTGCTTGTGCCATGGCTTCTGCATGCGTCATGCATGTTGCTGCAAAAGTGCAGTGCATGTGCAAGCATGCGTGCTTATGTAATCACTGCTTTTCTCCATCACTGCATATGAAAGTGTGCATGTTGACCTGCTAGAAAGAAGTAGCATCGATGTCTAAAATTGCTGCGAAATGATAAATCAGGCGTCTGGAAATACAGAAGCAATAAAATGAGCACCGAAACATCCAGCCATTCCTGCCCTGGTTCTTACCAGTTCCTTTTGATTCGTACCATTTTTTGCTTCTCAGTTCCTTATCCCGTCGATCGTTCTCCAATATCTTCTCCTAATCAGCTGGATTCTTCCGACTAGATCTAGATACGTCGTGCTCACTTGGGGTGGCAAAGATGCACCATCTTATGTGGGCATGCTGCAAGTGTATTTACTTTGAATACCTCGAACAGCCGTAAATTTCGAGTTTGGATCTCCATCTGTGGTAACTGGCAACTCTTTATCGGCAATAATTTTGTATTTTTCATATGCAGTTCAACTCTACACTCGAAATTGGGTCGGCCTAATGTACTGGTGGCTTTTTTACCATTGTTTAGGGGCGTTATCGGGGGGTACGATTCAGTTTGTTCATCTTGTTCACCCGCTATCTATCTTATTTGCCACATAACCGGCTTCTCTTCCAGGCTTACATTATGTTTACTGTTTTATATGACTGTAGTTCGTAATATATGTAAATATAAATGCACATATGAATAAACAAATAGGTAAATAAATATAATTATGCCCGGTAAAGGCGCCAAAATGTTTATGGGAGGAAAAAAATGTGAAAAAGCGAGTGGTGAATTCATTTGAAATTGAAAAGGAGCGCGAATTTCGCCACGAGAACACAAATCTTCTTGTGTAACAGGTGTTTTATTTGCTGCAGACGAAGAATTTGGAAAAGAATGCAATAGTGGTATGCGCTTAGGGTCCTGTAAAGTGCGAAACGAAAGGGCTTGTGAGTCAGCAGATATGAATAAGATGCTCGTTTAAACTGTTTCACTGTGTGGCGAATTCGATGACACATTGGAGGGGCGGGTGCGAGCAAGCGAATTAAATGAAAGCTTGGTATGTTGACACCTGAGGTTGTCGCAACTGAAGATGAGAAAAAAATTGGGAAAATGTTGCATGGTACTAGAGTTGTGGCGGAAAAAGGACACGAGGATGGGAAGAGTGTAAGGAAAAAGTGTGAAGATAAGCAAGGTAGGCGCCATCGCAGTAACGTTGCAGTTTCAAATGAAGTGACACACATTTTAATGCGTTGGAAGTTTAGCGTTCGCGAGAATAATGGGCGAAAATGAGTTCTGTTAAAAATTTCAGCACGATTAAAGGCCGCGCTGATGTTGAGGAGTCTCCGGTGATATTTAGAAACCAGTAGCACTCATCCTTATTCTAGCTTTTTAATTTGCGCCATGTCTTTTTTGCTAGCTCTCTTGTGCGAGCTGTTCTGGTCAACTGAGCGTAGCTTCGAAAGTTAATTGGTGACACCCACAATGACTAACAATATTCCAAATTTTATGCACACTCATGCACAAGATTTCAAATTCAATTACATCTTGTGTGTGCGTGAGCATAGCTTCAAAAGTGAAAAAGGCTCGGTATCTTGAAAAACACATCCGTGGAACGGAGCTAGTAAATATGCAGTAATGGTTTTTTTGAGTCTGAATTTCCGTTCACTGAATTTGAGACGCCCACTCTCTTACTCATTCACGATGTCGCATTTTGCAGGATTTCCGCAAAACTCCTTTGAAAGAATAAAAGAAGTTACTATAGGGCCTAATTTTTGCAGTAGGTACTTGTTGCTAAGTTTAGTTAGAAGCGCGCACAGCCTAAAAACGTCAGAGGTGAGGCCTAACGTAAAAACGTGGAAACTGAAGCTGCCGGCTGCGTAGTAAGCAAGTAGGCATTTTGAAATATCTAGTAAGATTGAAACTCCATCTTGTCCTGTACACGAGACGTAAAGTAAGAAAAAATTAATTTTATCTTTACCCGTTCATAACCAGGGGGATTGTACTTGGAAAATTTTCACCTTTCTAGCTTGTCTGTTTGCGTTATTGAAGATGTGTGAACACACCAAAAATCCCTTCTTTTTTCTTTTTTTATTGCTGTATGACAGTAGCATCTTTTATAGACGATGAGTCGCATAATCACTGGGAAAAGCATCCCAAAATTACCGTACAGCCGCATTTTCCTGTCGTTACATTGGGGAGCACGAAGGAAAAAATAGCCTTCGTGCAGGATTCTTCTCATCGACCAATTGTGTTGTGATAAGATCGGAGAGTGCAAAAAGCTACAAGCACTTTCTGTAAGGCAATCGCCGTCCGATGGGTTTTCAAAGATAACAGCTGCTTGAATTCGTTTTGTTTACCTAGC